TATTATTATCAGTCGCAGTAGTCGCATAAGTATGATCATTATCACCATCACCATCACCATCGCCATCACCATGATCATTTCATCATCATCATCATCATCATCATCATCATCATCATCATCATCATCATCATCATCATCACCAGCATCATCCTTATCATCAGCGTCCTCATCATCATCAACGTCCTTACCATTTCCATCATCAGCATCATCATCATCATCGCTATCGTGCTCGGTCGAGCCCTTTTAGCTCAACTTCCAATCCATGCCAGCTCGAGATCGAAACGCAATCTCTGGCGCTTCGAGCTTGGTCGGAGCCGAAGCGTCGGTTCGAAACCTGGGCTCAGCGGCTCTTGCCCCGCTTGCTTCGTTCTCGGATATGTTCGTGTTGCGGGGCGCGCGATGCCGAAGTGTAAAGATGGTGGAGTCGCTGACCTGACGGCCGAGGTCGTCGTCGTCGTCGTCGTTTTTTTGGGGGGGTCCAGCAATGTTTGCCCAAACGCTTTTCGTTGGGGTGTCTAGACCGAAACGTCAAACTATGCTTCTGGGGGGGGTCTGGACTTTGGTGCGGTTGCACCGCTGTCTTGGGTGGGGGGGTTCCAGACGGGCCGTCAAGCATTTTTTCCCCACTACATGTGTGAGACTTGGAGGAGCCATCGCCGTGATGCAGGCATCCATGAAGAATGATGTTTTTTTTTCGGATCAGGTCTCTGAGTTACCAGCAGCCGTGAAGGATTTCCATGACCGTCCGAAGGCTCAGAACGAGAATATCACGTCCACGGAGAAGGCTCTTGCTGAGTTGCGTGCGTTCTCAACGATCGACAGCAGTGACAGGGGCGGAACCAGTGAAGCAACGGGTGGTGCAACGATGAAGGGGCGCACCACCAGCGCAGGACCAGTCCGCTGTGGTTCACCAGATTTCTTGTCCAAGGGGTTTCTGGTTGGCTTCGATGATGAGCTCACTCGGAGGGTCTTTTGTGAGGCAGGTGTGGCAGTTCGCCCAGTTCGTGCTACTGAGGAGGCTAAGTCTGCGGTGTAGGTCACCCCTTAGAAGTTGTGGCAGTGCAAAAAAAGACCACCGCCATGATTCGGAAAAACCACCCAGACGGTTCTCCTTTCGTCACGCCCAATGGTGATGGGTGCCTGTGCTTGACACCGCTCCGTGAGGGTAGTGGCTAACCTGCGGGTCGTCACCCCGCTGCGGGTCGTGGGCGGGAACCTTGCGGGACGGCTGGGACCACGACGATGACGACTGGGATGCCATGCCCAAGCGCTTCCCCCCCTACGGGGCAGCAGACGACTGGACCCCTCCCCTTGGTGATGGTTACGAGGGTGGTCCTGCTGCCCTCAAACAAAAGCCGCCGGCACCCTTCCGCCTCCAGGTCGCCAGGCGTCCTGGCGTCGCGGAAAGACTGCGGCGCTTCGCTTGGTGAGCGTTTTTTCATTCATTCTTTTGCCGATCGGCGCGGGCCCTCGCCCCCCCCCCATGGAGTCGATCTTGGCTGTTTTTGGAGCGTGTTTTCGAGCAGGTGGAGTCTCCCCCGTAGGACGCACGGTCCCAAACAGTCGCACAAAGCAGAGGTCCGGAGCCAGACCCCCCCCATCCCCCCCCCCTTCCCAATGTCGAAACGCCGAATAAAAAACGTTCACTTGTGCACGCATTTTATGCCCCTGGAGACCCGTTCCTTGTGAGGAATATCCGGGAGGCCTCGCGCGCCGCGCGCGCAATGGTTGTATCATCTAGTCCGCACGTCCGCCCCGTCAGACATGGGACGATGTTCGCACAGCGACGTTCTGACCTGAGTCCGACACGTCGGACGTGGCTCCGACGTAAGTCCGACGTGAACCCGACGTGAACCCGACGTAGGTCCGACCTGGATCCGACGTACATTGGGTCTTAAGTGGCCGCGCGAGGCCTCAAGGATTGTGAAGGCCTGACGGCCGGTGCCGCCGACCCTGAAAGACATCGACGACGACCAGGAGGGGGAGGAGGAACGTGGAGAAGGAGGACGAGGAGGAGGCAGTGATAATTTGAGGAGGAGGAGGAGGAGTCTGAAGTGGCCGCGCGATGCCTCCAGGATTTTCCTCCTCACGTTCCACGGCTTCCTGTGGCGTCCAACAGAACCGGCCCCGAGACGCACGGCCAGCCCCCGAGCGGAGGTCTTGGGACCGTGCGCCGAGGAGAGCAGGGCGTCGGACCTTGAACCCCGACGATTCGCAGCTGTCATGGTGCCAACATCGCAGAGCGGATTTCGTTCGGAAAACGATAGGGTGGGCCTGGAGTGTCCTGGAGAATTTCGTTCCCGATTTCGAGGTGAATTTCGTGCGGATTTTTGGGCCAGGAATGAAGACCAAACATAATCCACGCGAAATTCACTTCGTTTTTCGCCCGCCGTTTCGGGCAGAATCCCCAGCAGAAATCCACGCAGAAATCCGCTGCAGCACGTCTGCAAGGCCGGTGCAATGAGACGATTCGCATTTGTCTCCGTCCGCGGGCCCCCGAGGCCTCGACTCCTTCCCCGAGTTCGGTCGCCAATCATGGGAGCACCGTGTACCCTCATAATTTCGTCTTTAGCGTCGGCTCGCGTCGATTGGCGTCTGAGAGTCGATGAAGTGTGCAGATTTTGCGCCGGTTAGCGTCGATTAGCGTCGATTTAGCGTCGATGTAACGTCGAGTTGGCGTCGGCTAGCGTCGATTAGTGTCAATTAGCAGGAGCCGACAAGATGGTATGGGAGGCTCCCATGAGTTGCCACCGAACCTTCCCTGAGGTTTGGTTGTTCGATTCTCTTTTCTAAAAAGAAAATACACTCTACCTTTTCTTTCCCCAGCGTTATCGGTCCCCCTCTCGGGTATGTAAATCATATATGATTATGACCACATGTCCATCCTAAATATGAACTTACACTATCCCAGAGGGGCCGGGATCGGCCCCCCTGAGGTTCCCTTGTGAAAAGCGATACGCGGGGACATCTTTTGTTCTAGCATCAGACTTTTTCACGAATCCCTTGCAAAAGATGGGACGAAGTGCACACGCGCGCGTCGGCGCGCGCGCATGCCGAAATCCTTCAAAAACCTTCGGTGTCGGAAGGATCTCGCAATCGAGTTTCCCAAAAACATACAAAAACATAGGGTTTCGCAACACTGATTTGCTAAAACAGCTTACGCGCGAGCTCTTGCGAAATCTTAAGAAAACCATAGGTTTTTCAATATTTTCACAACATGCTACCAAACGGGCTTCGCGCGCGCATGTCGAAATCTGTCCAACGCCCTTGCGCGTGTGCCGTCGTGAGAATCCTCTACAAAAAATTGGACGAAGTGCAGACGCGCGCGTCGTCGCGCGCGTATGCCGAAATCCTTCAAAACCCATCGGTTTCGGAAGGATTGATCGTGTGTCCAACAAATATTTACAAGAACGCACGGTTTCGCAACACGGATTTTCAACAAAAGCGTGCGCGCGCGCTCTTGCGTCGTCGTCGTCGTCGTCGTCGCCGTCCTCCCTCCTCCCGCGTCGTCGTCGTCGTCGTCGTCGCCTACGTCGTCCTCTGTCCTTCCTCGTGTTCGTCGTCGTCGTCCTCTTTGGCGTCGTGGTCGTTTTCGTCGTCGTTGTCGCTGTGGTCGTCCTTCCTCCTCCCTCGTCGTCGTCGTCGTCCGTCGTCGGCGTCTCGTCGTCGTCCCTCCTATTTCGTCGACGTCGTCGTCGTCGTCGTCGTTGTCGTCGTCGTCTTCCCTCCTCCCTCGTCGTTGTCGTCGTCGGCGTCGCCGTCCTTCCTCCTTCTTCGTCGTTCGCGTCGTCGCCGTCCTCCCTCCTCCCTCGTCGTTGTCGTCGTTGTCGTCGTTGTCGCCGTCGTCGTCCTCCCTCCTCCCTCGTCGTCGTCCGACGTCGTCTCGTCGTCGTCGTCGGCGTCGGCGTCGTCGTCGTCGTCGTCGTCGACGTCGGCGTCGTCGTCGTCGCCGTCGTCGTAGTCGTCGTCGTCGTCGTCGTCGTCGTCGTCGTCGTCGTCGTCGGCGTCGTTGACGTCGTCGTCGTCGTCGTCGTCGTCGGTGTCGTCGTTGTCGTCGTCGTCGGCGTCGTCATCGTCGTCGTCGTTGTCATCGTCGTCGTCGTCGGCGTCGGCGTCGTCGTCGTCGTCGTTGTCGTCGTCGTCGTCGTCTTCGTCGTCGTCGCCGTCGTCGTCGTCGTTGTCGTCGTCGTCGGCGTCGTCATCGTCGTCGTCGTTGTCATCGTCGTCGTCGTCGGCGTCGGCGTCGTCGTCGTCGTCGGTGTCGTCGTCGTCGTCGTCGTCGGCGTCGTCGGAGTCGTTGGAGACGTCGTCGGTGTCGTCGTAGTCGTTGTCGGCGGCGTCGTCGTCGTCGTTGTCGCTGTCGTTGTCGGCGTCGCTGTCGTTGCCAAGTGCCATTGGGTACCCACCGTCACGGTCCTAAGAGATTTTGCAGACCAAGTTGCGGGTGGGTGGGTGGGATGTTTGCGCGAGCAGTGGAGGTGGTCAAGCGCGGTGCAGGGTAGTCATTTTTCTCCAAATAGGCTTGCTCTATAGGAGTCACAGCTCATCATAAGTAAGTGGTCTTTAGCACCCCTCCTTTTCCCAATGACCCCCCTTTTTTCCAATGGCACTTGCTTGCTTGCTCTTGCGTGCTTGCTCTCGCTTGCTTGCTCTTGCTTGCCTTTGCTTGCTCGCACTTGATCGCTGGCTCTTGCTTGCTTCTTATTGCTCGCTTGCGCTTGCTTGCTTGCTTGCTTGCTTGCGCCTGCTTGCTTGCGCTTGCTTGATTTTGCTCCTCCCGTCCTCCTCCCGTCCTGCTCCCGTCCTCCTTGCGTCCTCCTCCCATCCTCCTCTCGTCCTCCTGTCATCATATCTATTTGGAGTCAACGCTGGCTGATATTGCTAGAAGCCGAGATCTGGAAGAACTGCCAGGATTGCAAGAAGCGTTCCTCTGGAGGTCGGCCTTCCTCGCTCCTCCGCTTCCTCTGGCGGGGGGCCGCGACCCTGGCGGGTCTTGGAAGGCGGTGCTCCTGGCGCTGCTGGACGTGTTCAAGGGCCCGCCCGAGGAGCCCACTGGCAAGGACCGGGGGGCGGGGTCGGCGGGGGGCGAGGCGGGGCAGGTGAGCTGCGGAGGCATGGGAGGGGCTCCTCCTTCTTCTCCTCCCTTCTCCTCCACCTCTCCTCCTTCTCCTCCTCACCCTCATCCTCGTCCTGATCCTTTCTTCTCCTGCCCCGCACCCCAGGTGACTCGCCATGGAGACGAGGGTCTTGAAGGAAAGCAGAGCTGGAGGTCGATTGCTCTCCTGGGCCCTTCCCGGGCCCCCCCCGGGGGACCGTCAACAGAACTCGTTTGGATGCAGCCTGGTTCCTGGGCAGCTCCCATGCCCAGGGCCCGTTTCTGCCGTACCCCTCGCCCCCACGTCGAGTTGGCTGCGGGGCGGCGGGCTCCTCTTCCTCCCTTCCCGTCGTGTCCCCTGCTCCTTTTGCTCCCTCCTCCCCCTCCTCTTCTCGCGATGCCATCCGAGCCAGGCGGCGTGTGATTTCCCCGCAGGCCAGCTGCGATCAGGGGCGTCATCCCCACCAGGATCTACCCCCGTGCCCCCGTCCCCGCCCCCTCCCGAGTCGCGAGAAGTCTTCTCTTCCTCCTCCTCCTCCTCCTCCTCCTCTTCCTCCTGGAACGAGCCAATCTCGTCCGCGCCCATCGCGTGCCTCGCCACAGCGTACGCCAGCCGCTGGACGCGGGCAGGCTTGCCTGCTGCGAGTGACGCCCTCGCGGCCTTGAGGGCAGGGGCCAGCAGCGTGGACGAGTAGTAGCGGTGGTCCGTCTCCGCGGACACGATCTGGTGGAACGTTTCGACGAAGGGCGGCGCTTCTTTGTGAACGACCCTGAGGGTGAAGATCGCCATGAAGAAGCTGCCGCCGTCGTGGGCAGCACCATGGATGAGGACGCTGTCTTTTTCGTGGCTGACATCAAGCAGGATCATCCAGGAGTGCGGGCGCAGGCACTGTATCTTCCAGTGCGCCGCTGGCGCAGACAACGAGAAGCACTACCTGACGTGTGGCCCGCTGGCTGCTGCTGGCGGCAGCGACCATATCCACCGTCCAGACCGAGGCGGTGGCGAACCTCGCGCTGCTGGACAATAGCAACGAGAACATCGAGCGGTTGGTCGTCGCGTGCGGCACCTACCACGCGCTCCGCATGGAGAACAGCGTCGACGCGGAGACCCTGCGCGCGGCGGCGCGGACGGCGCTGCGCGCCTCGCGGACGATGCGCTGCCCGCCCCGTATGCAGCATGCTCCTCGCCCCCGTGCTGATGGAGTGCATGGGGCTGCTACGCATCCACATCATCAAGTACACGTACCTCGAGCGGCCGTTGCGGCCCGCTCCCTACCCGCGAGCGCCCCTGTGAGTGGGGGCTAGGCGCGGAGGCCGTGGCGCGGCTGCGCGCGGGGGCGCGCGGCCTGCGTGGCGGCGGAGGCAAGACCGAGTGCTTCGGCACGCTCGACTCCTCCTCCTCCTCCTCCTCCTCCGCCTCCTCCGCCTCCTCCTCCTCCGCCTCTTCCCCCTCCCCTCCGCCGTTCTCCTAGCCAATCGGGCGCGATGCCGAATGTTGTCGCCCGAGCTGCTTCAGGCCGTTCTAGTCACCCAGTGCCGAATGACCGTGCTCTTCCTGTCTTCCGATGCGGAGGGGGCCTCGGTGTTCTGTCTCACTTGAATGCGTCCTAGAGTGGCTGCGCGACTCGTCCCCCGGGGAAGCTAACGTGGACTCCTCCTCCTCCTCCTCCTCCTCCTCCTCCTTCTCCTTCTCCTTCTCCTTCTCCTTCTCCTTCTGCTTCTCCTTCTCCTTCTCCTCCTCCTCCTTCTCCTCCTCCTCCTCCTCGTCCTCCTCCTCCTCCTCCTCCTCCACGCTCGTCCTCTCTCTCCCCATCCCCGCGGCCCTGCGCGGGGTGTGTTCCACGGCAGAAGCGGTGCAGCCCCCCCCTGGGTGTGGCAACGAGGCGGGCCTCTTCAGCCTTGGCGGCCGAGCCCAGCGCGGCGTCGGAGACCAGTGCCCACGCCAATCGCGAGGCCCGAGCCCGCCGTGCTCCCCCGAGGCCCCGCCGAGGCAACTTTTTCATTTCGGGCGCCTTCGCGCGGTTTCGGGGGCCCGGGCCCTCGCGGATCCATCGGGCTCGAGGAGTGTGCCGTCGAGAGGATGAGGTCTGGGGCTCTGGCTGCGATGGGACTCCTGACGATCTGCTATGCTGCTTGGCCGCCCCAACGCGCAAGGCGCAGCCCGCAGCATATCGACACGGAGCTCAACACGCATATTGAGAATGTGGGCCTGGAACGATGCTGTCGCCAGAACGTGGGTCAGCTCTTGCCAGCCCTTGCCGAGCCAACATGCAGCGTGTGAGCTTGGACGTTCTGAGCGTGGTACGTGTCTTCAACACGGGCTTATTCCGCCAATGTCGGCTTTCACGGTCAGGGCCTCTGGCGGACAACCAGAGGCCACCGCGGCGGTCTCCGCGCTGCCCCCCCCTGGTGGAATGCAGCAGCCTGAAGGAGGCCGTCCAGCAGTGCATCCGAGAGCCTCCACGTGCCCTCCTCAGCGTGGCTGCCCTGATGCGCCCGTGCTGAAACGCAACACGTGCCGTGTTTCACACGTCCGCGCTAACACGCTGCGTGTTGGCTCGGCACGTGTTGGCTCACGTTGTGGCGACAGTATCGCGCCAGACTTAGGTTTTCAATATACGATGGGCTTCTTAATACAGAATGGGGGGGGTACCCCCCCGACGGGGGTCAACCTCGCCTCGTCGTCGCGGCGCGACGGGGGTCGGAGCGCCTTCGGCGCGCGATGGCTGCCCGCGACGGGGGTCGATGTGGGGCTGTCGGCGGGGGTGACGCCCCCCCCGACGCTTACTAAGAACCTCGGAGAACGTTTTGAGCTCCGTGCCAACATGCTACGTGCTGCGTGTTGCGTGTCGGGGCAGTTGGGCTCCCAGGCATTCGGCGCCGCGCCTTTTTTCGATGCGCGGGCCCCTTGACCGCTCGACCACCTCCCGGGGACCAGCTCCTCATCCCGAGCCGTCTCTCCCTGAGCAGCCTGTCAGTAATATTAAGTCGGGCATGTTCCTCTACAGGTCGCGTTTTTTGTTTTTCGGCCAAAATCCGCCTGTAGGGGGACACGCACGACTTATCAGTAAACTTGTCCTAAATCTGGCTTCCAAGGTCGGTGGGCGCATCGCGCGATCCCAAATCCGTGGCCCGTGTTTTCTGGTCGTGGTCTCTGCTCACATTCGAGTTGTTATGGAGTTGCTCTCTGCAGTGCCTCCTGCAGTGTTGTATAAGAGATGTTTAGTGGCTTCCGCCGCCAAGGGTGCAGTTTGACGGCCCCGAGGCCAGAAACCGTCTTCCCAGGGCCACTCGGACTCGGACTCGGACTCGGCTCCGCGACTGGCGCCATGAAGGCGTGGCGGAGGGGGCGCCGATGCGCCTGAAGTGGTGACACGTGCGCGTGTGAAAAGAACGCATGGGAGGCAACATGAGGGGGAGGAGGAGCAGCAGCAATAACACCACTGCTTAAGGTACCCCGGGAGGTCGCCCCGTGCTGGTGTGGTAGCGACGCAGTGCCAGTCTGAATGCCCACAGCAGCCCGCGACCAATTTCCGTACATCATCTGTCCTCGGGTCTTTTGGCGTACAGGTCGTCTGTGAGGTGATCCCTCTAGGTCGATGTCGGGTTTCCAACATCATATCGTCATGTGCGGCCGAGCGCGCCCATTGAATTTTTCGTCTACGTTGTCTAGTTGTGCCCAATCCTCGATGTTGAGTTGTTGCATCCGCATGCGTGCTTCGGTGGTAGCGCGTTTGGTCCAATCGACCCAGGCTCTAAGACGTCATCGGCATCTTTGGAAATCTCTGTATTATCGCAGGTGCTGTCGGCGTCGTTCTCGATTGAGTCGTTGCTGGCGTCGTTCCCAGCGTCGTTGCTAGACGCGTCGATGTCGCCTGTTTGACGTCCGACGGTGCTGTCAGAGTTTTGTTGCTCGCGTCGTTTTCACCTCAGTATCATCCGCAACATTTGTCGTTGAGTTCTCTGTAGGCGGTTTTACAAATCTGTTGGTAGCGTCCAAGCCCCGCACTCGTATGGTATTATATGTTTCGCGTATCCGTGGGACAAGCGCAGTCTGTCGTCAAGAGAAACACATTTTCCAAGCAATTCGGCTTTGAGTGAAAAGAACTTCCAAGTGGTGGTAATCCGTTGTCCAGTTCAGTACTGTGGGGGTCCGAAATCTGCACCTTGCGATCAAGGCATTTTGTAAGATCTGAAAGGCGGGAAAACCTCGATCAGGGGCCACATGATGGCGATGAATTTGCCGCCCCGACTTTTTTGCAGGCGCCAGATGGGGGTTTTTGGAGAGGCTGAAGCCAAACACCTTGCCATATCTTTGGGGAGCATCTTTTACTTCCGCCAGCGGCTTCCGCTGGCCTTCCGCTGGCTTCCGCCGCCTTCCGCCGAGGAAGAGGTACCAACTCCTGCCCCCCCCCCCCTCCAACTCCAGGATTTTCACACATCCTCCGCCCGGGGGACAGATGCCCTGGGACCCCGTGAGGCGGTGGGTATTGACCAGGGCCCAAACACGCACATTTGCAGCCTCCTGGGGTCTCAGGCTATCGCTTGGAAGGATGACGGACAGGAGCTTTGGCTTAGCGTGTCGCTCCGCCAGCTTTGGCCTAACACGTTCTGGTGCGACACGCTATCCACTTCCTGTCGGCGGCGGCGAGCGAAGGGGGGAAGTGAGAAGGAGAACGCCTTCTCAGAGGGCGGCGGGGCTTCTCAGAAGGCCTCCTGCCTCCCGAGAGGCTTTTTGTAAGTCCTCGGGGAAGGTTTCGAAACATTTTCAGAAGGCCGGAGGACTTCCGAGCCTGCTGAGAGGGCCCGCCCTTTCTCACTTCCCCCCGGGCTCGCCGCCGAGTAGTCCTCTTGGGCGCAAGCTGAGCCACGCGCGTGGGAGCGAAGGTCAAGGTGCCGCGGTGTCGCGGCCTGGGGCCACAAGGCAGCGGCGCGAGAGCACGACGGCGATCGTGCCCCCATCGCTCGCCGCTCATCCTGGCCCTTCGGCGTCAGCGCCCCGAGCTGGCTCCCCGCCTCCCGCCCCGCCGAGCGGAGAGCGACACGCTGTGGCCGCCTGCAAGGCGGCCGGCGTGTCGCAGGGGCCGTCGCCCCGGCACGCTGTCCCAAAGTTTCCGCACGTTTGGTCTCTCTGACGCCCATCACGGCTGCATCGACACAGAGACCTCTTGACAGCCTCTGCCAGTTTCCTTCAAAGAAGAATAAGCGGCATAAACATGAACTTTTGGCGCTCCGCGCGGATTTCCGCCAGGAATTAATGTTGATGGCGTTTTTGTTCTTCTATTCTTGGCAACCTCTGCCACCCCCTTAATTCCTGAATTCACGAGGTAAGTGAGAGGGCCGGCGCGCCGCCTTTTTTCCTGCAAAGCGGTGAGAAAAGGCAGGCAGTATTTGTCTTTACCCACGCGCTCCGGCGTATGACATGACTTGACTTGACATGGCTTGACTTCATTTTACTTGACTCTGCCACCCCCTGTCATCTCTTGCCATGCCCCCTTGACTCTTCTGACGCTCTGCGACTTCGTCCTCGGGATGGCTGAGCCGTGAAGTTGCAGGAGTTGCCAGGGGATCGGCAAAGGTGGTCAAGAAGTTGGCAGAGGTTGCCAAGAGGTTGCTAATTGGACGCGGCCTTGATCAATGTTAGCAATACCGTAGTTCTTCAAGCGTATCCCCAGGCGGTGGAATCCGACAACGTTTCGTTTCAATCCGCGGCCCGGGAGGTCCCGACCCATTCCCCATGGGTAGCTTTTCATCTTGGGCCCATTTTAGAAAGCTCCAGGGCCCAAGCACGGCCTCTGGATGCTGCAGTCGGGGGCGTCACGCACGGATGGAACAAGCGCGCGTCGTCGGAGATTTGGATCCGTGTGCCTCGCACCCAGAAGCCTCCGCGGAGAAAACCCCCCTCTCCCTTCGTCGTTAAGGGCTTGACGACTTCTGCCGTCCCCAGATTCGCTCTGGAGCGGCCACGGTTTGCTCCAAATGTCCTTGGAGATCGTACCAGGATCTACCAGGACTTCTGGGATATATATATATATACACATATATATACACATACATATGCACATATATAAACATATTTTTTTCTGGAGCCATTTTGGTTCAAGCCGTCTTAGCTCGAGACCTGCCGGCCGTCGGGGAGGCCGCCGCGGCGCGGACCGCCGCCCCCCCAAGCAGTGGCGGCCGCGGCCGCGGCCCTGGCGGGCGGCCGCCCGCCACCGCGAGGACCGCTCGCTGAGCCCGCTGGCCTAGGCCGCGCTGTTCGCAGCCGCTGGCAGGCTGCCCCCTGCGGCGCCCTCGTGGGCAGAGGCGCTGCTCGCGCGTCTCTGGCGCCGGCCCAGCGGAGGGCCCAGCCCGCGGGTGCCTCGCTTCGGTAGCAAATCACGGGAGCCTTGTATACCCTCGCGATTCCGTCTTTAGCGTCGATTAGCGTCCATTAGCGTCTGGGAGTCGATGAGATAGCGCCGATTTAGCGTAGGCTAGCGTCGATTACCGTCGATTTCTCGTCGGTTAGCGTCGATTTAGCGTCAATTAGCGTCGATTTGCAAGAGCCGACAAGATGGTATGGGAGGCTCCTGTGAGTTTCCACCGAACCTTGCCCCCCCGGCCCGCCGCAGGCGGCGGCGGCGGCTTCTTCGCGGGCGGGGGCGCCGCCCGCGCGACGCCAGCGCCGGCCTGGCGGAGGGCCCAGCGTGGCGGGGGGGTGGCCGTGCAGCCTCGTGATCTCAAACAGTACAGGGCTTGTGATATTGATGCAGATTTAGGCCGTAGCGGCTGCATATGACGCTATTGGACGTTGGGGGTGCAGAAAAGACGAGAGCTGCGCAAAAACCGTTTTTACGTGGTCTTGGCGCCGCACTTTTTGTCTTCGATCTTTGTGATCGATCTTCGTTCACGAAGGTGCACACATGGGCGGAGTTACCGTGAAGTTCCTGTTCTCGAGAGGGTGCTGGAGGCCTACGGTTCGGCGCAGCGGCCATGGGTCACGCTCTACAGCTGCGTGACCAAGCCGATGGAGCTGGCAGAGGTTTTTGCGATGGAGACGAGCCACGGATACTCCGAGGTCTATGTAGTCGCCACTCTGGTTGAGCCAAGCATGCTACGTTGGATTGGTAAACTGAGCGTCGACATGGGCAACCAGAATCTGAACTGGATTAAGCCTATGCCTGACGAGTTCAATCTGTTCCTGAGCTCATAGGCAGAGGAAAAGGCGGGAGCAACGGATAGCAGCAGCATCGTCATGCAACAGCTCGACGACCTGGTCAGCAAAGAGTTCGTCGGGATGGTAGATGCTGCGAACTTTTGTGAGGTCCCGAAGCGACGCACGCCGTCCAGCAGATTGGCACGATGCAGACATCATATTGGTTGAGGTGTCGCGCTGCGGTAAGACCAGCGTCGTAAGCTTCCTCGCGCAGCGGGGAAAGAAAGCGGCTTGCGTGAGGATCGGGGCGGTCAAGCCCATGCCAGAGGGCTTCGGCACCGCCGACCCATCCAAGGTCGTGCTCGTCACACGGAGCGCGGGCCACATCCTGAGACGCCGAAAGAACCGGGCATCCCTGTGGAGCTCCAAGTCGATCAGCCCGACCCTGCCGCACTCCCTGGACAACTGCGCCACCCCAGACGAGGTCCTCCTAGGATCTGGAGGTATTCCGCCAGCTGGCGGGGAGCCACCCCGAGTGGATGGGCCCGCTGGACTCGAAGAAGAGCCCCCCTGGCAGCGCCTCCAGCGCCGCCCCTTGCGCGCTCCGCGCGCCAGGGAGGGGGGTCCGGCGCAGATCCAAGAAATCCGGGCGGAGTGCCACGAGGCCATGGCCCAGAGGAGTGCCGAGGGCGGCACGGACAAGTGCGTGTACCGCCTCTCCGATGACTCGGGGGAGGCTGCGCAGCTGCTCCTGTCCAGGCTGCTGGTGCAGTACGCGGAGCTCGAGTCTCCCAGCGTGGTGGTCTTTGCAAAGCTGGACTCCATCTCGAAGGTGAGGAGCGTCGTGGAGAAGGCCCAGAGCAGCCAGCAGGACATGCTCGTCCTGGCGACGCTTCGGCAGCGGTCCCTCTCGGATGCCCTTGTGGAGTTCGGGGACGAGATGGGCGTGAAAACGCACAATGCGATGGCAGGGCTGCAGCGAGTGATGACACGGGCGAGCAGCAGCGTTGCCACAGAAGAGCTGGTCTTCATTGGCCAGCTGATCTTCGATGGCAGCACTGACAGCGTCCGAGCTGAGGGCTCCGCAAGCGGCATCAAGAAGGTGCACGCCGTGGACTCTGACTTTTTCCTGATGGCGGAGGCCGCGCAGTTCGCGCAGCAGCATATCTCCGGCGTCAACTCCCGGGAGTGGGATGACGCGGACGTGCTGCTGGTCGGCCCCTCGCGCGTGTGCAAAGAGACGGTCGCGTGCTGTTTGGCTTAGCGGGGTGTCAAAGTCGCATGCTGTACAGCCGTTGATGGACGAGTACCACCAGCTCTCTCGAGCGTTGACCCAAGGAAAGTTGTCTTTCTCACGACGTCTTGCGAATCTTTCTTGAGGCGAAGGGAGAACCAGGTGCAGCAGTTGAAGCGCAAGGGCCTGCCAGCGTTCTACGACGCAGGCTACACGAATAGTCAGCTTATGCAGCATGAGGTGTGCGGATGGCGCGAAATCAGCGTGGTTCGATCGGGCCCACCAGCCTTACAGATTACGACATTGTTGAAGTCTGCGACATTGTGTTCAGTGCTCTCAAGCACGCTTCGATTGAAACTTCAAGCGAGACCGTGCGAGTATTATAACACGGTGACCGCCCGACTTGCACGCCGTATCGAGATCCATGAAGTACACCCTGAGGCTGGAAGCCTTGTCGGGAGGACGCCAACGCACACGGCATTAGGATCTGCGTTCTGCTGCTGGTCCGAATTTGAGTTCTCTGGAGATTCCCGCGGGTGCATGTGACCTGCTGTGTACAGTCTGCGTAAGATGATGGGCCTGTTTTCCACCACCACCACCACCACCACCACCACCACCACCACCACCACCACCACCACCACCACCACCACCACCACCACCACCACCACCACCACCACCACCACCACCACCACCACCACCACCAGAAGTTGGAGTGGGAAAGGAGGAGGAGGTGGAGGAGGAGGACCCCCTCCCTCTCCTACCTATGGTGGTGGTGGTGGTGGTGGTGGAAAACAGGCTCATCAAAAGAGCAGTGTGTTTGCACGCTGCTCCAGGGCGCATGCCCTGCTCTTTCTGTTTGTCGTCTGGGCTGCACAGGGCCGACCTGTCGACGGCAGCCCGCCCGACCCTTGCGGAGCCTGCGGCGGCTCGCGGGGCAGCTCTCCCGCGTGCCGACGAGGGCTGCGTGGTCTCGCGGTCTCGGCGCGCTCGCGTGCCGGGTGGGGCTCGACAGAGAGCGCCTTCCGAGGGTGCCTTGCCCTCGAGGGGTCGTGGTGTTTGACTTCTTCGGCGGAGGGCCTGGGGATGCAATGCGGTCCTGGCGGGAGGCCCCGCGCGCGCGCGGAGGGCAACCGCGGACATTTGCAGGCTTTCTTTTCTTGCCCCTCTTGGCATCGCTCGGACGTGTGCATGCCTGTCTCGGCGAGGACCATCGAGGAATATCGGTGTGGCAGGATGGGCCACACGTAAGAGGCATACGCCCTGCTCCGCACCATTTTGGCCAGGCTTCTCACTGCTTGGTGCTTCGAGTCCGTGCAGGGTGGTCGTGCCATGAGCAGGGCAGCACAGGAGCCAGCGCAGGCTTGCGAAGCGAAGCTGTGGGAGAAGGGGGGTGAACAAACAAAACAGACGAGGAGGATGAGGAGAGGCAGATGTATTGTATTAATTCAAGCAAGACCTCAACACTGCGAATTTCCATGCTTTGCGGTGAGACGAGCTCTGCTCCAATGTTTGCTTGTTAGCTTCTTTCTGGTTCTAGGCCGCGCTGTGTATAAGCACTGCTATTGCCAGGGCGCGCGCGTACATCAACTATGTAAATCCTTCTGCATACCTTTGTCCAGCGGGCCAAATGCCTTGCATGATAGGGCGCTGCTATGGTCAGCGCGTGCGTTCTGCATAGACACAGTGCAGGGGTCAACTACATTCTAGGACGACTGTTGCGGCGTTTTTTTGCGTTGGCCCTGGAGGAACTGCTTTTTCACAGAGGAAATTCACCGCGCAGCGTTTCCACAAGGGAATGGTTTGCGCGCCTCTTTTCACTCTGCCTTTTAGATTGGTGATCGGCAATTTTTCTCCCAGTCGGGGGTAATCAGCCGCTCATCGTGCCTGTCGGAAGACGATTGGCAGGTAACTATCCCGCAAACAGTTGACGCTCTCGCAGGGCATCTCGGAGGACGAGTGACACTCCCTCGGCACCCCCAGTAGAGGAACAAAAGAAGGATATCTGGGACTTCCAACATCGATTAACTGCACTTACCTTGATTTACCGGGCCTGATCCCCGCAAATCGATAGGCACGGGGAACGATAGGGTTAGGTCGGGCATGTCCCCCTACAGGCGGGTTTTGGGCGAAAATTTAAGATACCCCAAACTATTCCCAAACAGTCAAACAATATTCAAAACATCGCCCCCAGACTGTTGTTGGACTGTTCTTGAATATTACTCCTGTACAGGGACACGGCCGACTTAACGATAGGGGGGGGATGGGCTCAGGGCGCCCGCGACGCCCCCCCCCCCCGAAGGGCAATGATATGGGGGGATCGGCTCAGGGGGATTCTTCGACCCCCAATCGCCCACTGATCGCCGATAGGGGTCTGATACCAGGCGATCGCAAACATGGATCAAGGGGGCGTGGATTAGCGACGGGTCCCGCTTCCATGGGGAATCGCGGATTTTCGGCGCCGAGCGAGGCTGCATTGGCCGTATTTTGGGGAGGGCACCTCCCGCGATCCATGGATTGGCGACCGCGCGCCAAATCCATGGATCGCTAATCCATGTTTGCGCGCCCCCGACAGGAGCATTGGGGCCTGTTGCCGATCCGTCGACGATGTATCGCCGATTCGAGGTCGATGTTTCACCCCCTGCGCCAGTCGCACCATGTCGCTGTCCCTCAGTTGATAGATGGCCACGACGACGACGACTGGCACGCGTGTGTAGATGATGCCGCTGGCGCTAGGCTCCCTTCCACTTGGAATAGGGCCGCGGCGGAGCAGATGAGTCCGCGTGGGCGCCTTTTCGCGATGCTGTAGTCGAACCAGGTCGAGGTTCCCCCCCTGCACCAGTTCCCCCCGTGTCGTTGCCCCCCTCGGAAGCCCCCCGGCCTTCCAGAAAACCTTTCAGAAGGCCGAAGGGCTTCTGAGAAGCCCCGCCGCCTTCTGAGAAGGCCTTCTTCTTCGCACTTCCCCCCCAACAGACGGAGGCGGAGCCACCACTCCGCCCCCCACTCGAATGGCGGCTGTCTGCCAGACGACCTCTCGGTAGACTGGCGATACGGCGTCCAATTGGGACGGTCTCCTCCTGATAGCTTCAGCCGCTCCCCCTTCTGGATACTCCTCCTCTTCCCCTTCCTCCTCCTCCTCCTCCTCCTCCCTCCTCCTCCTCCTCCTCCTCCTTCTCCTCCTAGGCGTTTCGGGCTCGAGCGTTTCTCGGGCCTTGCAGGGATCTTCTTCGAAACGCCAGCAGTCCCTGCGAGCCATGGGAGTTCGGTGGTGCTGATGAGTGGCGAGTTCACCGGGGGTGCGAAGCTGAAGTCCGACGGCGCCCTTTTCGTGGTGCAGGTCGATGCCGATGTCGCCAGCTGGCGCTCCGAGGTGTTTGCCGCGCAGGACTCGCACGCGATCGTGGACCTGGATGTGATTGAGGCCCCGGTGGTGATCAAGGGCTTCGAAATGCTCCAGGACCTGGAGGTGAGCGCCGTCATCATCGACTACCTGGAGGTGAACGGCGTGATCTGCGAGTGCCTGAAGGTGACCGACCTGTTTTGCGAGTGCATGGAGGTGACCGTCCCGACCCTCGTGTGCCTGGAGGTACCCGTCGGCATCTGCGAGTGCATAGAGGTACCCATCGTCATGGTCGAGTGCGAGAAGGTGATGGACGTGACCCTAGGCCTGGAGGCCATAGTGGGCCTGGAGGAGATGCAGGGCCTGGCGGTGGTCAAGGGCCTCGATGCGTCCGTCGGTGTTCCAGGGCCTGGAGGTGACCATCGTAATCTTCGTGTGTCTGGAGTTGACCATCAATGTTCTCGCGTGCTCAGAGATGACCGTCGTCTTTGTCGTGTGCCTGGGAATGATCGTGCACATGGTGGACCACAGCCTGGGCCTCCCCAGCTCCCTGGTGAGGTTGGAGGTGACAGCCGTCGGCTTCGGGTGTGTGGAGGTGCCCTTCGTGATCCAGGGCCTGGACGTGGTAGGGGGCTTCGGCGTGGGCGATGGCCTGGTGGCGATCAAGGGCCTGGAGGTGTTCGAGGGCGCTTGAGTGGCCATCGTGTTCTTCGTGCTCCGGGAGGTGGCCGTCGTCCTTTTCGCGAGCCGGGAGTTCGTCAGCTCCGAGTGCCTGGAGGTGACCGTCGTGATCTTCGTGTGCCTGGAGTTGACCGTCGTTTTTGTCGGATGCCTGGAGGCGCCCGTGCCGTAGGTAGGCGCCGTGGGCATTCTGTCATTGCACTGTCAGGCCTCCATCCTTATTGTAGGAACGAGGATGAGAGGACGTCCCGCTCGTCTAGGCGGGGTGTGCATTTTCTATGCTATGCTGCGCAGACGCTTCCGCCTGTTGCTGCGTCCAGGCCCGCGTCGTCGCAGCAACGCTCAGGCCTCTCTGCCCTCCCTCAGAACGAGAGGATGGCGGCTTTGCTTGCGAGAGTGCAGACCCGTGAAGCGGCATCGAAGGATGCCAGCGCTGGCTAAGGCATTCGTTGTGCCTCATCTGTGGCTAAACTGTTGCCGCCTCTGCTGGCTTTTCTGTCTCAAACTAAGCGTTGCTGTTCGGGACAGGTAGAGTCTATTTCCCCCCCTGGCGTGCGCTCTCCGCGCGCGCGCAGGCGCGCTCCTCGGGCGCAGGCGCGTGAGGCTGCAGCCGCTGCTGGCTCTTGTGTTCTCTCGCGTTGCCTGCTAGGGCAGCACGAGGCATACCGCTCATAACGGTGAGCTCGTTTTGGCCTCCATGCATATGCTTTCGATTCCTAAATGCGGAGTGAATCCTGCTTGCTTCCCCAGCGGCTCTCGCGGCAATGTCCTGGTGCCTAACCGTTGGCTGGGCGCGCGCGGCCCAACTGTGGGCGTGGGTTGCTGGTGGCAGCTGGCAGGGGGCGCGAAGCGGCTGGGTGTTGATGCGCGGCGTGGCGGCCGTTTGCGCCCACATGCTCGTGTGGGGCTTTTCTCCCGTGGGCGACAGTGCCCAGCGGTCAGTGTGTCTCCTGCTAGGGCTGGCGACGGCATGGCAGGGTCGCGGCCCGCGTCCGCGGGAATACTCAAGGTGTCTCAAGCTAAACGTTGCTGACTGGTTCCGCCCCCTCGGCCTGCACAGGAAAGAAATCCTCCTCCTCCTCCTCCTCCTCCTCCTCCTCCTCCTCCTCTTCCTCCTCCCCCCTTTCCCTCTCGTCAACAGGACGCCCCCGGGCTCGCCGCCCTTGCCCCGGGCGGCGTGGCTGGCGCCCTCGCCGGCTGCTGCCTGCAGGACGTGCGCACGGGCGTCGCCCAGGATGGGGCGCAGGGGGCCGGGGCGCGCCCTGGGGGCGCGCAGCGAGGTCGCTCGCGCAGACATCCAGCTGAAAGTCGAACGGATTGATGTGACAATGGTGTCGTCGTCGTCGTTGTCGTTGTCGTCGTCGTCGTCGTCGTCGTCGTCGTCGTCGTCGTCGTCGCCGTCCTTGTCCTCGTCGCCGTCGTCCCCGTCTGCCGTCGTCGTCCTCGTCGTCGCCGTCGTCGCCGTCGTTGGTGGTGTGTGTGGGGGTCAATTCGCATCAGACTTCTCGGGCTTCATTTTGCCTCGTGTGCGGTTGCCTCCTCGGTTTTCTGGCCGCTGCACGTCCCGCACGGATTCACAGCTCCGCTTTCACACCACCCAGTGCTGCACTCGTCAGTGTTCAACGCTTTGTACACTGTGTATCCGACAGCGTTCGATCGCAATTCGCACTTCCATCTGCTGCTCGCGCTTGAGGACCTTCTGCGCCGCCGGCTCAAAAGTTTGTGTGTGTGCGCGCGCGTGTGTGTGTGTGTGTGTGTGTGTGTGTGTGTGTGGGCATAGCTGCGGTGAGCTCCACCACGTTCCCCACCGTTTGCAGAAACGCGCCTGTCCACCTCCCCCTAAGGACCCTCAGAGAGGGGGTTATGTTGATGCTTTCCGGGGGACCCAGAGTAATATTTCGCTGTGAGGCCCGCGTGGCTTCCACCAGTAAGGTTGGTGCCAGTGCCAAGAATTGTGGCGACCAGTGGAGCAGGTCCCCCTTGTTATCCCTATGGTGGTGGCCGTCAAGTCAGAGCTGGATTGGCTATCCGGCGCTTGGCGGCCTGCTCCGTGGGACGTTCCTGGGGAAGCTTCCAGGAACATTCCAGGTCTCTCTCCTGGGTGGGGCCAGGTGTGCCCCCTGCCGTCGGGCCAGGGCTGGGTTCGCTATCTGGCGCCTGGCGGCCAGCTCCCTCTGGGTGCGGGAAAGGGATCATTGCCTTGCGTTGCGATTTTGGCTTGAGCGCAAAGCCCACTCGTTCGTGTTCGCCACGGCGCGCTCGGCAAACCAAGCGCCGCTTAGGCAGAACGCGGCATGGGCGCTAGCGAAAAAAAGGCGCACTGCAGGGAGGGCGGGTGGGTAGTTCTAGGGTTAGGTCGGGCGTGTCCCTCTACGAAAAGAAAATTCCCAAATATTCAAAACATAAGCCGGCGACGATTCTTTTGCATGTTTTCATTATTTCTGAATGTTTTTGTATTTTTCAATTGTTCGTCCCAACTCCGCCTGTAGGAGGACATGCCCGACGTAATTCTAAGGTGTGTGACGCTGTTGTGGCCCAGCGCCGGTTATGGCCAGCAGGAGAGGGGGCGAAGAGGTTCGAGGTGCTGGGTTCGAAAAGGTTTTTCTGTTTTCTTCGGCTTCGGGGCCCGCTTTCGGCCCCCGGGGCTGTCAAAAACTTGGGTCTTGGGTGAAAGCCTTCAGTTGGGCGTGTTCGTCTACAGGAGGAATAATAAGATACGTTTTTCTTTTGTGTGTGTATATATATATACATATATATTAAAGAAAAACACATATAATATACAAACGTTCAAATTTTGTTTCAATATTTCCGGAGCATCTCTAATTTTTCGCCCGAAATCCGCCTGTAGGGGGACATGCCCGACCTAATCAAAGCCGCACCATGTGCACGTCAGGGGGGATTTGGGGACCGATTTTGAGCGGGTCAGCCCTTGTTCCGCCTCCTTGACAGATTTTCTCGGGGATCATCCAGTTCAGACCCACCAGCCGCCTCCGACCCGCAGACATCCAACGTCTTGGCGAAAGCCAGAACCGACTTTTTCCGCCTGTTTCGGCTTCCCAGGCCATAGAGGCGCCAGGGACCGTGAAGCATTGGCTCGGAATGAAATGCGGGGCCTCGGGAAAAGGTCGGGACCATTGGAAAGCCACGGTTTCAAACGAATGTCAGGGTTCGGCCTCCGGGGGCTTGAGATCTGGACGTCGCCTTTTTTCACTCTGGGCGTTTTTGTGTTCCTGGGGCCCTGGGGCCCTCGTGGATCGATCTGGCCGCAGAAAGAAGCGGCAGTGTTTCCGGTTATAATGTCCCACGTTGTTTCATTTCTCTCGTGAAGTCGGATCCTACGGGAGGGTGCGGCATGGTCGTTCCCAGGTTTCATGGAAGAGGGGAGGGAGGAAGGACGAAGGGCTTTTGGTTGACTGGGGCCGCCTGATTGCCCTGACGTCCGCCGATCTGATTTTCTAAGCCCGCAGCCCCAGAGGCTCCGACTGCTTTTCTGGGTGTATTTTTTCGTCCGGGCTTTATTTTGATTTGAAGACGGGGGCTTTTTCCACTCGTGGAGGAACCGAACCGCCCAGGGCCGCCTGATTGCTCTGACGTCCGCCGATGTGTTTTTTTCAGCCCGAGGCCCCGACTGGTTCTCTGGGTGAGCTCTTTTCGTCCCGGGCTCTATTCTTGATTGCCCCGGGCTCTATTCTTGATTGCCCCGTGGGTCGACAGCGAGCGCCAGCTGAAGAAACCACATCGTCGGAGCTCTGCGTAGGCGGGCGGCGTCCCTCGAGCCAGGGAAGAGGAGGAGGCAAGGCCTGATGGTTCAGGAGGGGGAGGTAATCACAACACACACAGAAAAACTTATCTCCATAAAGGAGTGGGAACATGTGGGAAACAGGCGGGAATAGGGTATGGACAAATATTGGGAATCGTTGAGTTTGTGTAGATTTATTTGTGTCTCCCTGGGCCCCCTTAGTGGTGGGCAAGGGCTCGGCGGCAGCATGCGTGCCTGAGCGTTGCCGCGGGCTCGTGCCCCCAAGAGTCATGGTGGGCGCGAGCTCTTGCCCGGCCGCCCCCCGATGCAAGGGGGGCAGCCGGCCGTGAACCCGAGGCTGAACGGGGAAACAACATTGCAAGGAAGCGCGAGCATGGATCAAGGCAACATCGGCGGGGTGCATCCACCGAGGGAGTGACGACGACGACGGCGGCGGCGACGACGGCGTCGACGACGACGATGATGGTGATGATGATGTTGATCCTGATAATGCTGATGCAAATGATGCTGATGCTGATGATGCTGATGATGATGCTGATGACGACGACGGCAAATCTGATGATGACGATGCTGATTACGATGATCATGATGATGATGATGATGATGATGCTGATGCTGATGACGATGGTGATAATCGTCATCGTCATCATCATCATCATCATCATCATTATCATCATCGTCATCGTCATCGTCATCGTCATCGTCATCTCAATCGCCATCGTCATCGTCATCGCATTGTAATCGTTATCGTCATCGTCATCATCGCCATCATCGTCATCATTATCGTCACCGTCATCGTCATCGTCATTGTCGTTGGCATCGCCATCGCCATCGCCATCGCCATCGTCTTCGTCATCGCCATCGCCGTCGTCATCGTCATCGTCATCGTCATCACACGGTATCGATCTCGGCGATGGTGGTCCTATTCGGGCACCTCCGAGAGTTTATGCTCATGTGTTGTCCTCCTCTTCGTCTTCGTCGCCCTCCTCCTCCTCCTCTTCCTCCTCCTCCTCCCGTAGCCATTTTGGGTCAAGATGGCACGCCATCGCGAGCCCAGCGTGGATACCGCTAGTCCGCGGCCAATCCCAACCTTCTTGCAGCCACACCCAGGGACGAACTGCCGTCCATTCCTGCGTTTCATCCCGGCGTTGCAGGCCGCCTTCCATATCACAGTGTGCCTCATGAACTACGCGCCGAGCATCCATATTCTTTCGAGCCCCGTGCCGAGTATCCTTATCTCTACTTTCCGGCACCCCGCGCCTGAGCTCCCTGTTGCCGTTCCCCGCTCCCATATTCCGCTGGAAGTCGACGCCTTCGTTTCCCAGCAACAGCAGCAGCAGCCACGCAGTGGCATCGGATTCAGCTTTGTAAGTGGTGCAGTTCAGAACAATTGCGTGCCCGTCGAATCGACACCATGTCCTCCAGTGAAGAACGTTCCACATCACGCAGTACTCCCTCTACCAGCCGCCGCAGAAAAGACCGTCGCCGAGAAAGAGAACGTCTCGAACCTGATCGCGCACATCGAGGCACCCATAAACGCGAAGATATCGGCCTCCGTGCATCCGCCGCCCGTAATACATTGGCCATCTACGGTGACAACGGCCTCTCCTCTCCTCGATCGGGGAGAGCATCGGGACAAGCAGCGCGATCTGGCAGATCCTGAGCCCGCCAGGCGCAGCCGACGCCCACCTTCGCCATGGACACTAGAGAAGAAGAGCCGCATGTTCCCCATCGCGCTGCTGCCGACGCTGCTCCTCAACCACACCGAGATGGCGCCTGGTCTGAACCTCGTGTACAGCAGCCAGCCGCCGCACCTCGTCCCGATCCATTGGCAGGAGCTGCTGACCCTTGGCGTGAAGGAAGCGCAGCCTCTCATGCTCCTGCCGCAGCAGCACGCGGCCATGGTCAACTTCCAACCGCTGGAGGAGCCGCCACCATCGGAGCCACCACCGCGCATCCAGGTGAAGCCGACCAAACCACTCCACCTGCACCCGAGCTCGTTCGTCTCCCTGGACTGGACCCTGACCTGGACAAAGCACTACAATAACTCAGGCAAACACAAGTCGCACATGCAGCAAGTACCTTCCAAGCGCAAGCCAATCTACTACGTAACCAATCCAGAGAAAGCTTTCGTCAATTTCTCGCACGGCAAGTTCAAGCCGCCGAACGCCGAGTCGACTCCCTTCATGATGTTGTTGCTAGAACCCACCGCGAACAGGACAGACAAGCCGCAGACCAGCAAAATATGTGGCAGCAGATCGACCAGATGCGCGAGACGCTCGGGCTCGCTGAGGCGCAGGTGCCGATCGCGGACCTCACCGGGCTCGCCGACTGGGGCCGCGCGATCGACCCGACGATCTTCACCATCGGAGCCCAACGCCTCATCGCCCCTGGCGTGCTCCTCAACGACCCGCAGGAGTGGATTGCCTCCGCCAACCTGGACACGGATGCCGTCGAGCAATATGGAGATGCGCCCTCGCGCCGGTTCATTCTCCAAGTCAAAGGAGATCGCACCATCGCAGTTCCTCGGGCCCTTGCTCTATCTCGAGCCCTTCGCGACGCCGCAGGGAAGTGGGGGCGAATCACTTCGACAGATGCCGCGGGCGTGCCGACTGACATCTACCTCAACCCCGACAAAGCCCCCAGGCAGGTCCGCACCGAGACCCAGTGCAAGAAACTCCTCCATCTTCTCCTGCATCGATATCAGCAAAGGGCCTGGAAAGCATTCCGCGCCAAGGGCGAGATCCACTGCAACGCCATGCCCGTCGTGCGCCTGGACGTCGAGGGCCAAGCAGACCCCGCCATCCTGGGGTGGAACGAGAATGCTTTCGAGCTCGCCCACTTCCGTGACATCGATAGCGGCGCCGTCCTCACTCCTTTCCAGGCGCTCTTCGCGGACGCGGCTGAGGCCACGTGGCGGGTTTAGCCACCTCTGGGCTCAGTGGGGGCCAGTTGAGGACAACATGCCCTGCTCTTTCATCGCCTGGAACGCCCGCGCGATTATGCGCCACAAGCGTCGTCGCGAACGAGCCGCCCTGCAGCAGTGCATGCGCCTGCGCGCCGTAATTGCCTTGCAGGAGGGGCACGGCTCGGAGAAGCTACTCCGCGCGTGGGTCGACACCGAGCCCTGCCCGTGCACGATCTTCTTCTCGCAGTTCGTCGACGAGTCCGCTGATGACGCGCGCGCGGGCACGGGGGGCGTGGCCGCCCTCATCCCGTGGCTCGCGCGCGTGCAGCTGGAGCAGATGCAGCCGTCCTAGCTCCCGATCTTCTCCCGCGAGGAGCTCGTCAAAGGCCGCGCCCAGATCATCGCAGTCACTAGCGCAACCACCCGCAACGCCATCGTCATCATGAGCGTCCACAATCACGAGATTGACGCCCGGGTTCGTGATCGCATGCAGCGAGCCTGGCACCTACAGCGTGCGTGGGCGGAAGCCAACTACCTGCACCGCACCTTCCATGCATTGGGCGACTTCAACACTGCCGGCCGCCTGCCGAACAGCTCCTTCCAGCCGCAGCCACGGCGCGCCCGCCTCGTCCTGGGCAACGGCGCTCGGCAGCAACAGCCGTTCTGGAGGGTCCTGCTTGACAGCGTGCTGGAGATCGAGTTCGACCTGCCGACGTGCTTCGACAAGTCCGACTTCGCAGCCTCAGCCACCGACCGCGTCTTCATCTGCCTCCCGTCGCGCGCCATGATTGAGCTCACATCGGCCACCCGCGTCGCCCACGGCCCTGCCATCCTCTGAGACCGCCTCCTTAGCGACCTCGCCGTCGTCTCTTACACCATCGGTATCAAGCATAAGACGCCGCCAGTGGATCAGACTATCCCCCCAGCCATCTTCCGCGACCCCTCGTTTGCCAAGTGCCTCCAACAGATGCTCGACCACGCCGTCGCGATCCACCTGCCGATCGCGAACCGCTGGCGCACGCACAGGTGTCTCATGGTTGAGGCTGTCCGTCTTGTGCGCGACGACTGGGTCGGCCGTGCAGCTGGAGAGATCGGCAAGACAAGCCGCTCCGACGGCCAGGTGATCACGGCGCGCTCGATTTCGCGGGCGACCTGGCGCCAGGACGTCCATCTGGCACGCCGTCTGCAGTGCACCACCGAGCTCGGCTCAAAGTACATCGTTCTGGACAACGGCATCATCGCGCTGTCGGACGCCGCCGACTTCGCCATGAGGTCTTCCGTTCTGCGCAGCGACTTCGAGGCTCGGCAACGCTCTCTGGCGCAATGAGCTGCCCCGTTGCCAAGGGGCTCGCCTGGGGCCAGAGGGCCAGAGAAGCTCCGAAAGATCACCCGCGCGTCCCAGCGCAGGGCCCTCCTGTGGGCCCCCATGGAAGTGCCATCTGGTCCTCCAGGGCATCAGAACCACCGACCCTTCGGGCCTTCCGTCGGTAGCCAGAGAGAGTTGTGCGATGGTGGACGCACTTCGCGACCGCTGGCGCCCCGCCTTCGAGCGCAAGCAGGTCGACGAAGTGAAGGTCAAGCAGTGCATCGTAGCGCACGTGCCGCTTTTTCCCACCGTCGACGTTGGCGCGCCCGCCGCGGCCCAGATCCGCGGCTTCTTGCAGCGCGCTGCTCCGTCTGCCCCTGGGCCCGACCTCTTGCCGTGCCGCGCCTGGCTCGCCCTCGGCGCGTCCCTGGACTTGCTCGAGGACCTCGCATTGCATCTCTGCTTCAACGCTGACATGATCCACGATCTGAATGGCTCCGACTTCGCTTTCCCCCCTAAGGGCGACGACCTCACGGGCGAGCTCCTACGGGCCCCATGTCGGAGGACACTCGCCCGCCCCCCCTCAAGGAAACGAATATCAAAGCCATCGCGGGCGCGGCCAATATCCTCATCAAATCCGCTGTGGCAGAGCGGACGCATTACGCGCAGCAGGGCTTCGCCGTCGGCCGCAATTTCACCAAGCACATCGTCAACTTAGACGCGGAGATGCGCCGTGCAGGGGTTCGCCCTGATGCCGAGCTGCACAAACCCGTCTTCGCCAGCTTCGACTTCGCTGCGGCGTTCCCGTCGCTTGGACGGGTCTGGCTCTTCGCTTCCCTGGGGCGTTTTGGAGTTCCCGAGGGTCTGCTCAGTCTTTTCTGCCAGCTGTGCCACGCCCCGAACAGCTTCCTCAAGACCGACGGTATCCGCCACTTCGTGTTCCCGATCGAGTCTGGCGTGGTGCAGGGCGGCCCTGCGAGCGGCCCAGCGTGGGCGATCGCGATGGGCCCGCTGGTGCGCCACCTCGCCTCGTTTGTCGAGACGGTCGATGGCTCCCCCGACAATGACAAAGGCTGCCCCGGCGTGTGCGCGGACGACGCTGGCCCCCTCATGTTCTCGTCCGACACGCCGCGCCGCGCATCTGAGCTCTCTTGCGCGGCGGAGGAGCTCGCGCTCCTCGCCGTCAAGCCGCGTATGTGCGTCGTTGTTTCGTTTTGGACAAAGACAGCGCCTGCCACCGTAGCTCTAACGGAATCCCTCCTGGCTGGCTTCTGTCTTTCCTGGGGGGCATTTCGGTTTCGGGGCGAGCCGAGTACCTCGGGACCTTCCTTGGACCCTCGGCCTCTCATGCCTCGCAATGGCTCGCCCCTGGGCAGAAATGGAGGCAGCGCGGTAGTTATGTCCAGCTTGTCCAGAGTGGCAGTGGTGCCACCGTTCGCATGTGCAACACATCGGTCGTCTCGACACCCAGCTAAGTCTCGCACTTCTTCCCGCTTGGCTTGAATATGTCTCGCCGTGAACATTGCATCTTGCACAAAATGCGCAGCCTGCCTCCGAACTCATTTCGCAAAGTTGATTTCCTTGCAATGGCGGGGTGGTGCCCGCCTTCTGTCCCACGTTCTGCTCGGATTTTTGCTGTCGCAGCCGCAATTCGTTCTGCTGCATTCACGCTGCGCGGGGGATGGGAACCATTCCATGCGCGCCTGCGTGGCGCCGCGTGGGAGGAGAGTACGGTTCACTCCTCCCATCGGTGGGGGGCAGGGCAGCTCTGCCCTCGTGGGAAGAGGGCACTTCCATCGTGCACTTCTACCATGCCCTGTCCTGCGGGAAGCGCGCCTCCCCGTTTTCCGCAGCTGCCGTGGCCGCGGCAAACCGCGCAGCTGCCCGCGAGCTCCGTGAGGCCCCAGCTGCTAAGCCACCGCGCCGCCCTAAGGTGCATGCAACGTGCGGTCGCGCTCGAGCTACGCCGCTCCTCTTTTTCATCGCCGTTCGCAGTCAGTCTTGAGAAGCGCATCGCAGCCTGGGGCATCCTGCAGCCATCTGCCCCAGAGTTCGCGACGCAATGGTCTGCTCTCACCAATGTGCTCCACAAAGTCCGCCCCAGCTGGTGCTGGGCGGTTTTCGAAACGCTCGCTGGGGGTTGGACGACCGCCCACCGCATGCACGTCCTCCAGCAGAAGCAGTGCGCGTTTGGGTGCCAGGCTGCACCCGATTCGTTCCCCCACTACCTCTCCTGTCCTGGCCTCCTGAGCCTCCTCTGGTCCCCCGGCCCTCCCCCGCTCCGTAACGCACTTGCACGCTGGGGCCTGGGCCCCGCCGCCGCCTATCCGTCTGATCCCGACAGCGACCTCTCGTTGCTGCGGTCGATCCAGCGGATTGCGCTGACCTTCAGTCTGTGCAACAAATTGAAGCACGCCGCGCCGACCCCAGCCACGATAGCTGAAGGGTTGTGCGCCGCCAAAGCATTGCTCTGGAAGTAGGCCAGCCAGCGGACTGACGCGCGCGGACAACTTGCCCTCGTCTCGCGTCTTGCCTGCTTGCCCTCGTCTCTTCCTCTTGGAGTACGTGCACTCCTCCTCCTCCTCCTCCTCCTCGTCCTCCTCCTCCTCCTCCCCCTCCTCCTCCTCTCGGGCATCGTGTGTGGCTGAAATGGTACCACCAGCACCAAAGCCTGGGATCGTCTCCCCACGGTGGAGGCAGCCCCTCTCTCAGTCTGCAAGCGAATCGGCCTCGCCGACGCTGAACACTGCCTGGGGCTCGGACCCGAACAGCTTTCTCGACAGGAATCAGGAGAAACAAAAAACACACATACATAATTAATCGTCGACTCCCAAGGAACATCTGCGAAATTATGGGACGTGTGGGCGGGGGGGAGGGAAACGAAAATCCAGAAAATATGGAAACAGATGGGGAATCCGGGGATTTGTGTGTATTTATTTGTGTGTTTGTGGGCCCCTTCAAAGAAACCTAACAAACCAGCGAGACCTGGACAAGGGGAAACAACAAAACATCTTCCCGCGGTGCATGCCGGCCCCCCGAGTCGGTGCGGTTGCCCATCTCCACGCCTCCCTGCGCAGGCGCGTAGCGGGCTCCTTCCGAGCTGCCAACCGAGGCGGACGGGGTGAGGGGGCCGCGGGGCGGGCCCCCCCGCCGCGGGAGGACGCCGCGGGGCTCGTGGCGGCCTCCGGGAGGCGCACCGCCGTGTTCTTCCTGACCCACTTTGGCGACTTCAACTCGTGGGAGGTGGCGCAGCAGGCCGCTTTCCTCCCTCCTCCCTCTCCGCCCCCTCCTCCTCCTCCTCCCCCCCTCCTCCTCTTCCTCCTCCTGCGTAGCCGTTTTGGCTCAAGCCGTTTTGGCTCAAGGGGCCTGCTCCTCAATTTCCCAACTTCGGTCCAAGGGGTTGAGCCGCGTGCGTGCGTTATGGCCTCCGCACAAGCCCTTGTCTCCTTTTACGCGGCCGCGGGAGTGTCGCACCACAGGATAATCCATGACGACGGCTACCGATATCGCCAGATTTTAGAACAAATGCAGAAGATGTCGGAGAAGACGTTCAGCGTGGCCAAGGTCCAGAGTGCTGTCGTAGTTGTCTTCGCGCGGGTTGGCGACTGCATGCACGCCCAGGACGAAACCATCAAGAGCTTGCACAGGCAAGTGGCTAATTTCTGCTTCGCTCCATTGGTTGTTTCCTTGGTTGCATCCACAGTGGCCATCGTCTCTGGAAGGAAACGCCGTATGATCGACACCAGCGGGAACCAATCACATGGAAGTGACCCTGCCAAGGTGTTCATGGGCACCTGGCCCGCCAAGTACTTGGGACGGTGGTGCAGAACCGCTGCGACCAGCTCAAGGCGATCTACGCGGAGACCTTCATATCCACGAGACTGGGCGAACCTACATGATCAAATTCCCCTCTTCGGATGCTGCCCGCCGCCGCCGCCCGCGACGGGCCGCCCGGCCTGGGCCCGCCTTTTGCTGCTGCTGCTGCTGTTGCTGCCGCCGTCGCCTCCCCCCCGGAGGCCAGCGCGCGGGAGGCGACGGCCAGCGGCGGCGGCTCGGCCGCCCCGGCCGCGGCTGCCCCAATTGCTGCTGACGCTCCTGCCGCTGCCGCTTTCCCCCGCATAGGCTGGCGTGCGCGCGGCGGCGGGTGGCGGCGGCGCCCCAGCTGCTCTGCTGCTGCTGACGCTACTGCCGCTGCCGCCTCCCCACCGGAGGCCGGCGCGCGAGCGGCGGCGGCTGGCGGCAGTGCCGCGGCTGCCCCGCCCTCGACCGGCCCTGGTGGTGCTGGCGCTACCGCCGCCGCCCGCGCCCTGCCTGCGGCGGCGGCTTGCAGCGGCTGCTGGCCCCACAGCGCGCTCGCCGCCGCTGCTGCGGCCGCCGCCGCCGCGGCCGCCTCCCGGGGGCCCCCGGCTGAGGCGGCCCTTGCCAGCCTCGAGGCCGCCTTTGCTGCCACCGCGCCAGCTGGCGCGGGTTCGCTGGCTGCAACCTCAGCTGCTCTCGCGGTCGCCGCTGCTGCTGCCGCCGCCGCGCCGACGGCGGCGGCGGGTGAGGGCGCGCGGTTCGGCATCGCGGCGGCGCCTTTCTGCGCGGCCGAACGCGTGCCCACGCTTGGATGCGGAACCACACTGGCGGCTCAGGGCGCACCCGAGTGCGCGCTCACTCGTGTGGAGGTGGATGGGGAAGGTGGAGGAGGGGGGGGGATCCCAGAGGACCCCCAGAGAAAGGACAGTCCGTCCCGCTGGTAACCCATCCGTCGACCTGGATTCGGTGCCGCACAGGAGACCCGCTTGCCGCTTCCGTTTCGTCTCCCAGGGCTGCCTCTCATTCCTTTTCGCGCCTGCGGGTCGGTGTCGCGACTGCGGCTGAGAGCACGCCCGCACCTGGAGACGACGACGACGTCACTACTCGGAGAAATGACACTCTGTCCTGTCGTTGCCCCGGCCGCTGACCGGGACCCGCTGCCGCAAGAAAAATTGGTTGCCGCTCCTATTTCGTTTTCAAGGCTGCCCGTCACTCATATCCGCGCCTTCGGGTCGGTGTCGTGACGGCGGCTGAGAGCACGCCCGCGCTTGGTGGCGAAGACGACGATGACGACGCTACTCTCGGAGAAGGAATGTCCGCCCTGTTCAATCCTCGAAATGGTTGTATGTGATGTGTGCGGCGCTATGGCGAAATCCCCATTTTGAAAGGATCTGGCCTCCATCTTTGAAAATGCTACAAGTTTCAAGATGAAAGCGCACAGCGTTGTCTTGAACACGACCCGGGCTCCATCTTTAGAGCTGTTGCAGATGTCAAGTTTCAGGGTCATCATTGGCGAGGAATTCTCAGGCGAAGCGCCGGGGCCGGCCCGCGGACACGTCCAGTGGAACGACTGGGAGGAGTTGTTCATAAGGAAAATAATGAAGCAGGAGAACGAGGATAAGTAGGAGGAGGGGGAGGAGGAGGAGGAGGATGAGGAGGAGGAGGAGGAGGAAGAGGAGGAGGAGGAGGAGGAGGACGAGGAGGAGGAGGAAAAGGAGGAGGAGGAGGAGGACCAGTGTAAAACCCAAGACCCAGGAACGATGTTACAATCAACCCTTCCTCCAAGCTTCCTTTTCATAAATCCTTACAAGGGTATGTCATTATTGAGGGAAGTGTACCGTTGGAGGACAGCCTTTTGAAAATCTTTAATTGTGCCCGAACGCCATTCGCGGGGCTTCACTGACGCGAACCAGCGTTATCGTTGCACTTGGCGATTCTCAATCGTGCCAGACTGCCATTTTTTTTGGACCTGAGCACCGCGAATCAACCTGATAGTTTCGCCCTGACAGTCCTTCATCGTGCAAAGAATATTTTCCATGACGTCACCATAAGAATTCTTGCAGTTGTTGTGAGTTATCGAGACGAATGTTCGCGGCGCTCAAGCGATAACCACATTTGAAAAGCAACCGCCTTCCATCCGCGAAGCCCTTACAAACTATTGGAACAAATGTGCGCGGCGCTAAGGGGAGAGCCGCAGTTTGAAACATATTCGCTCTCTACCCAGGACGCTTTTGCACATTTTTATGACGACTGTGCGCGGTGCTAGAGCGAGAGCCACATTTTGAAAAGGACCCGCCCTTCCATCCGTGAAGCAGCTTCAACTTTTCAGCCCTAGAATCGCAGAGATCGTAAGGCAGTCTCAGGCGAATGTCCCGGCCCGCCTTGCCGACAAGTCTCGGGGCGCGACAGGGAGGAGTTATTTATACGGAAAAGTCATGGAGGAGGATGAGGAGGAGGAGGAACAGGCGGCAAAGGAGGATGAGGAGGAGGAGGAAGAGGAGGACGACGGGGAGGAAGAGGAGGAGGAGGAGGAGGATCAGGAGGAGTAGGAGGAGGAGGAGAAGGAGGAGGAGGAAAAGGAGGAGGAGGAGGAGGTGGAAGAAGGGGAGAAGGATGAGGAGGAGGAGGAGGAGGAGGAGGAGGAGAAGGAGGAGAAGGAGTTGGAGGAGGAGTTGGAGGAGCAGGAGAAGGAGGAGGAGCAGGAGAAGGAGGAGGAGGAGGAGGAGGAGGAGGACCTGGCAAGCCCAGAGGTTCGCACGGCTCTGCGCCTGGGGCAGCTCGGCGGTGCGCGCGCGGTGCTGGTGGGCATCGGCACTCCTGAGTCGGGCGGGGCGGGGCACCTCTCCTCTTTCGTGTCCTCTTCGGGTGCCACGGGGCCCCAGAGATCGGGGGTGTCGCGGAGTTGTGGCAGGTTCGCGGACGACGGCTACGCCGACGGCGGCGGCTATGGCAACGGCGACTTCGACGACGACGACGATCACTAAGACGAAGGAGACGACGGACGACGACGACGACGACGACGACTTCGACGACGAACGACGGCGGCGACGGCGGCGACGGCGATGACGACGACGACGGCGACGGCGACGGCGACGGGGCCGGCGACGGCGACCACGACGACGACGAGTTCGACGACGACTTCGACGACGACGGCGACGAATGACAGCGGCGGCGGCGGCGACGGTGATGGCGACGGCGACGGCGACGGCGACGACGACGGCGACGTCGACGACGACGACGACAACGACGAATGGCGACGAATGACGACGACGACGACGACGACGACGACGACGACGACGACGACGACGACGACGGACGACGGTGGCGGCGGCGGCGACGGCAGCGGCTATGGCGACGGCGGCGGCGACGACGACAACGTCGGCGACGACGACGATAACGAGTGACGATGACGACGACGACGACGACGACGGCGGCGGTGTCGGCGACGGAGGCGGCAATGGCGACCGCGACGGCGACTGCGACGGCGACGGCGATGGCGACGGCGACAGCTATGACGGCTTCGACGGCGACGACAACGACGACGACGACGAACGACGGCGGCTTCGGCGACGGCGATGGCGACGGCGACGGCGACATCGACACCGACTTCGACTATCACGACGAAGAATGACGACGACGACGACGAACGACGGAGGCGGTGGTGGCGACGGCGACGGACGAACGAGGTCGACGACGACGAATGACGACGACGGCGACGGTGACGAACAACGACGACGACGATGGGCGACGACGACGATGGGCGACGACGACGACGGCGACGGCGGCGGTGGCGGTGGCGGCGTCGGCGATGGCGACGGCGGCGACGGCGACGGCTGCGGTGGCGACGACGGACCACGACGACGACGACGAAAACGACGACGAAAACGACGACGACGGGCGACGACGACGACGACGGCGGCGGCCGCGGTGGCGGCCTCGGCGATGGCGACGGCGACGGCGACCACGATAACGACGACGACGACGGCGACGGCGATTCCGATGACGGCGACGGCGACGGCGACGGCGACAGCGACGACGACGACGACGACGACGGCGACTCCGACGACGAACGACGGCGACGACGACGACAACCATGACGACGAACGACGACGACGGCGACGACGACAACGACAACGACGACGGCGGCGGCGACGACGGCGACTGCAGCGACGACGACGACGACGGCGACGGCGACAGCTACGACGGCTTCGACGAACAACGACGTCGACGATGTCGACAACGACGACGACGACGGCGACGACGACGACGACGGCGACGACGATGACGACGACGAACGACGACGACGAGGACGACTGACGACGACGGCTGAGGCGGCGGCGACGATGGCGACGTCGATGACGACGACGATGACGACTACGACGGCTACGACGACGACGAAAGAAGTCGACGACGATAGCAACGACGACGACGACGACGGCGGCGATGGCGACGGCGTCGATGACGACGACGACGAATGATGACGACGACGACGACGACGACGACGACGATCGCAACCACTGGCGACGGCGGCGGCGATGGCGACGGCGACGTCGACGGCGATGGCGACGGCGATGGCGACGACGATGACGACGACGAACGACAGTCGCGGCGGCGGTGACGTCGTTGCGGCGGCGGTGACGTTGGCGACAGTGACGACGACGACGGCGACGACGACGACGACGACGACGAATGACGACGACGACGACGACGACGATCACGACGACCTGCGTCGGCGGCGGCGAGGGCGACGGCGATGGCGCCGGCGACGGCGATGGCGACGGCGACGGCGACGTCGACGACGACGACGGCAGCGACGGCGACGGCGACGGCGATGGCGACGGCGACGGTGGCGACAGTGATGACGACGACGGCGACGACGACGACGACGAATGACGACGACGGCGGCGATCACGACGACCTGCGACGGCGTCGGCGATGGCGACCGCGACGGCGGCTGCGGCGACGGCGGAGGCGGCGAGTTGAAGAAAAAACGGTTCCCGGCAGCCCTCGAGACGTTTGGGACGCTTCCTGCGGGTGAGCCTGGCCTTCAGCTTCAATCCCATCGGCTGCCAGCTTGGCACCGCCTTCGGCGGGGCGCCGTGCCACTGGGACGGCACGGCGTTGTACACGTCGGCTTCCCGAATGCTTCCGAAGAGCACAAAACAGCGTAACCATACTTTCTGCGAGGTCCGCGTCTCGGATCTGCGCTGGGCCCCCTGGCGGCGCCTCCGGCGCCGCTTTTGACGCGCTCCGCGCGCCAGGGAGGGTGTCCAGCGCCGATACAAGACATTCGCGCGGACATCCGACAACTCATGCTCCTGCTGTCTTTCCGTTTTCTGAAGTGGGGGGGGGATGACTAGACCAGGGGCGGTGAATATCATGGCCCGGGCTATGGACTCTCCCAGGATCTCGTGGCCCCCTTCCTTTGTTTCTCAATGCGTCCCCTGGTCCCCGCCCTGGGCCGCGCACGTGCCTCAGGCCACGATATGCGAAGCCTCGGAGGCCCCGTCCTGGACGCCCCAGAGGCCCCCTCTTGGACGCCCCCGGGTCAGGGCCCCGAAGACCTCGACCCTTGAAAGCCAGGATTCGGCCACGCGCAGAGGGGAAATAGGGGGAGGGGGGAAGGCTTCTTCGAAACACCCCTGCTTCTTAGAAGGCGCGGGCTTGTCTGTAGATGTAAGGCCCGCGCTTTGTAAGAAGCAGCCTCCTTCTGAGCAGCCTTCTCCCCTGAACAATGCTCCCCTCTGCGCGCCGCCAAAGGAATTTGCGAGGTCCACCGGTGAGGTTGGCACTGAGGGTTGTTTCGGCCCACGGCTGCAGCTGCCTTGGGCGCGCCAACGTCGTTTTTTTTTTTTTTTTTTTTTTTTTTTTTTTTTTTTTTTTTTTTTTTTTTTTTTTTTTTTTTTTTTTTTTTTTTTTTTGTTTTTTTTTTTTTGTTTTCTCGTTGTTGTTGTTATGGCTTTTTCCTCAAGAAGTCCTTGTTGGCGGGGCCCCAGGAGGTGCCCTCTCTGCTTGCATGACTGCAGACGGGGCCGAGGAGTGCAGGAGGGAGGTGCTCAGTCGACAGGAAAACAAACGACACCACCCCACCTACGGGCCTCCATGTTGCGCTACGGCCCATCGGGGGCCGTAGCGCATACCGTGCAAAAGACCACGCCAGATTTCCTGGTATACGCCGAGACCCGTGGGTCCGTAGGTGGGATGGTGTCGTTTGTTTTCTGGTCCACTTAGGGAGCTGTGGAGGGTTCCATGCCATCAGGAGCAAACGGTGGCCAATCATTTGCGCAGTCGTAGCCGCAGTCGCGGACGTTGAGAATGGCGATGCTGAAGAACCAATGGTGCCCTCCTGTCCTTTCGATCCCGTGTTTCCTGTTTCAAATGTTCTGTGGCTTTTTGGTAGCATGCTACCCACTGAAGAGTCGCGCGTCCTCCCGGAAGTTCTCTATCCATGCGTTTGCGGCAAGTCCCACCGCCGAGCCAGCGCAACCCTCTTGGTCCGCGGACGTCAGCGAGCAGGCGTCGGTCGAGCAAGCGGCGGGGAGCGTGCCAGCGCAACACTTTATATGGCGACCTTGCGGGCACAGCTGAGAAGGCCGTCACGTGTGACGCTCGTCGCCCCTGGGAGTCGAGAAATAAAAAAGGAGGAAGCATATGATAACGAGAAGGAGGAGGCTTGTGAAGATGAGGGGGAGGCGGAAGAAGGCGATGAGAAGGATGGGGATGACGGTGATGACGATGATGATGATGTTGCTGATGATGATGCTAATGATGATGATGCTGATGCTGCTGCTGATGATGCTGATGATGATGACGATGAGGATGATGCTGATGAGGATGATGATGATGAACATGAGGACGAGGATGAGGATGAGGATGATGATGACGATGATGATAATGCTGATGAGGATGCGATGATGATGGTGATGTTGATGATGATACTTATGATGATGATGATGATGATGATGACGATGCTGATGATGATGATGTTGATGATGATGATGATGATGATGATGATGATGGCGATGGTGATGATGATGCTGCTGATGATACTGATGATTATTATGATTCTGATGATGATGCTGTTGATGCTGAGGATGATGATGGTGATGCTGATGATGACGGCGATGATGATGGTGGTTGTGATGATAATGGGAATGATGATCAGGATGAGGCGGACAACGATGATGATAATAAGTCTAATGCTAATGATGTTGATGCTGATGGCGATGCTGATGCTGATGATGACGATGCTGATGGTGGTGGTGGTGATGATGATGCTGATGATGATGATGGTGGTGGTGGTGATGCTGGTGGTCGTGATCATGATGCTGATGCTGATGATGATGATGCTGATGAGGTTGATGATGCTGATGATGCTGATGATGATGAGGAGGAGGAGGAGAGCGTGGAAGACCGTCACATGTTACACTTGTCGCCTCCTGATGGAGGGCGAGAAAATGCGAATGAGAAAGAGAGGGGAGGAGGAGACGGAGGAGGACCAGTGTAACCCCCAGAGTCATCAACGATGTTGGAAGTAACCCTTCTTCCAAGCCCCTTCTCCATAGGCCCCCACAAGGCTTCATTCCCAATGAGGGAACTGCCTCGTTGGAAGACAACCGTTTGAAGACCCTGAAATATGCCAAAACATTATTCTCGGGACTCCAACGCCATGGGTCAACCTGTCTGTTGCGTCTTGACGATCCTGAATCGTGGCAGAATGCAATTTCTGGGACACCACGAATCAACGTAACAGTTGCACCCTCAGAATCCTGAATCTTTCAACGACACAGTTTCTGGTACGTTGACAGTGAGAAGGAATGTGCGCA